GTGCTGCCACCGCTGTTCTTCTCGCTATCGCTTTTGGAACGTTTCTTGCGATCCACCTGAAAGTGGTAAAATACACGAACAAATTTGAACTGCATGCATGCATGTGCGTGCATTTTCGTGCTTTCATGCAATCAAAAGTTGGTCATGCAGACCTGCCTTCACAGCAGTATGGAAATGCTCATTGACTTGCTCAGCGACAGCCGGCTGGACTGAATTGACATAAAATTGTCCAACCAAAAGAACTTGAATCGACGACGCAGCTTCCACATCCTTCAGCTGCGGAGGGGGCTGGATGGTCCAAGACCTGGGCAATGAAAGTGCATCCCAAGCAGGTACCAGTACCAGTTGTTCTATGGGTGGCACTGCCATAGCTGAGCTTCGCACATCTTTGAGCCCAAGTTCATTGGGATCGTGAAGAAGGGGTCAGACTTCGCCAGCCCTTCAAGAACACAAAGCCGCTCTTTTCGCACCTCCTGTCAAATGCCCAAATGGTTAAGATGTGGATTTGGCTCGGAGAAAAAAGAACCTGCCTCTCCCACACGGCTGTTTTCCTGCATCAGTGGTAGTTTTGCAAAACGTTCACTGCATGTTGCATTGACAAAAATGCTGACTACAAGGAAGATCACTGTAGACTCCCCCAGATCAGAGTTTCCCAGTCAACCATGTTGACAAACGGTAAAGGGCAATCCCGGCATCCTTCGCAGTGGCACCAGCGCTACCAGGTGCATCACGATGTTCACCTTCATTGTCCTGCTGGAATCAGTGTTGAACCATCAGAACAACAGAACTGTGTGAGTCCTCCTGCTTCCGCTTCCTCATTTTTTCTAGCTCAGATGCCTTTCGATCACTGCGCATGGAACACAACTCAAACAGCGTCAACTAACAACGCGCCGTTGTGCCTTTGTTTTTGCCCTTGGTTCATCATCATCAGCAGCACTGCCATCCTCCTAGCGCGGCGTGGCCAGTCGCTGTACTCTCCAATCTTTCCCACACATGCGAACGGTTGTGCTACATGCATATGATAGAGTCCTGGGGTGACTTTTGCTTGCGCTCAGCACGCTGGTTCCTCTTGGTGGCCTGTGACTGAACGATACTCTAAATTTTGTATTTCACAACTCTCCGCGCCTTACGCGGCCCAGATTCGCCAGTTGGAACAGACTCGGCCTGGACCAACAAGAAATGCGAAATTGGATCAGTTTATGTGCTTTTGGTTGTTATCGGGCATGCACACTTGCACTTAATATGTCGCATATTTTATAGAAATCTGCCAGGAGCCTCAACAGCTTGGCGCTTGGAAGGTTGACCCTTGTTGTCGTGCATGTCGCCGTCGTTGTTCTGAAATAGGCTATCCGACAGGTGAATCAAAGTTGAGTCTAAACAACACAATTAATACCATAAGTTGAGGTCGCGATCCTCAGCATTCTCCTTCTTGGATGCTCTTGTTTTTCTTTTTTGTTTCCTGCCCTCGGCCTTCTCAGCTCCCTCACTAGCTCCCTCTCCCTCTCCCAGTTCCTCCTTGTCTTCCTCCTCTGGCAAATCTTCCTGATTCTCCTCTTCCTTTGTCTTCCTGCCCCTGCCCCTGCCCCTTCCTTTTCCCTTACCCCGGCCTCGCCCTTTCCCCTTGCCAGGAGGATTTTTTTGGCGGTCTGCTCGTCCACCTCATTTTGGGCCTCCCTTAACCTTTGGTTGATACCCTTTCTTGTCTCTTCTTGCATCTGCGCGCAGTGATCATTATTAATTAATATCAAATTTAAGACCTTGTCGGCAACATTACTTACGTGCAATGTAGGATAGGCAAGCTACTTCGGAAACAAGCCTGCAACACAAACTTCTCCATAATTTCTTTGTTCTCATCCCCAACTGGCCCATGCTTCTGGAGGTAATTCTGCCAAAGCTGGACCATGCCTGGGAGATCCGGAAGGGATTCCAAAAGCGGGCGCCGGTCCTGCAAGACATGACAAAGCGCGCACGCATGCACACGCACGTGCAACTTACAGCCTAGCTTGTAGATTTAATAACTTTGCGTTAGAGTGCTTGCGATGTTTTTGGTGGAAGAGTGGAAGAGATCTCCTTAAAGCTCTTCCTAGAAGTGTGCTCCGCTTCCGAGTCTCCTTCCTTGTCCTCTTCCTCTCTCTCCATCATCTCTAAAGCTCGCTTGTCTGGAGTTTGAGGTTGAGACCTAGGAGTTTTTTGCTCAACGTGCTGTGCTGGCTTTGCTGGACCTGGAGTTGGTTCCTCAACGCGCTGTGCTGGCTCTGGTGGAGTTGGT